TTTTGATTTTTGAATAGTGATATGATGGGAAATGTGTGGTTGAAAAAGAAGAAAAAAATATTGATGTGATGGAAAATATTATTTTATTGAAGAATGTGTGGTTGAAAATGAGAATTAATTTACTGTAGAAAATGAAAATTTGTACCAAACAGGCCCCAGAACCAGTTATACGAACGACGATGATGATGTCATTAATAGCAACGACGAGGATGATGATTTGATAGGGGTGATGGTGGGCCTGTTAAGTATAGCTTTTTCGTCAAGTTGTATATGGAGGCATATTGATTCCCTTTATTGTGAAGAAAAAAAAATGGAGAGAATTTGAAGAAGAGAGTGAAAAAAATCAACTTTAATGATGGAAATCTGTCTCATTTTATTGTTAAAAGAACAAGATTTGTTTTGGGAAGATGAAGAACTTTAATGTGTGCAAAAGTTGAAGAAACTTATGTTCCTATCCTCTTAGATCTTCAAGTACGTCGTCACTTGTCATGATTTTGGTGGTGAGTAAATGTGTAGTTATTGATTACGGTAGAGGAGATGACAGTGGTGGCGGTGGAGAAGATGTCGAAGGTGGTGATGAGGGGTGGGTATGTGTAAGGTGGATGGAGAAGATGAAGTTGGTTTTTGGTTTTTAATTTTAATTATTTGATTTTAGTTAATTATAATTAGTCTATATAAAATTTTATAATTTAATTAAAAATGAATATTTTTCAAAAAAATGAATGAAAATGAAAAAAAAAAGTTATAAGAATACAATTTAATTCTTTTATAGAAAATATAAATAAACAATAAGAGAGAGAAAAAGAAAAATAGAAACTAAAATAATCAATAGAAAAAAATAAATTTTAATCATAACTTTAATGTTCGTAGAAAATACAATTTAATTTTTTTCATAGAAAATAAAAATCAATAATAAGAGAGAGAAAGAAAAATAGAAACTAATATAATTAAAAGAAAAAAAAATTTTAATCACAACTCCAATGTTCGTAGAATGGAAAAGGAAAGAGAAATATTAAAAAAATACATATTAATTTCTTCTTTTTCTATAAAAATCTTCAAAAATCTTGTGATTAATGAGAGACAAATTTTGAAATTTAATTTTAATACCTTCTCCTTAAAAATTAGTACCATGAAGACTTTTATAAAAGTCTCCAAAAGTCATTAAAATTTGAATACCCGTAGACTTATTTTTAATGAAATGTATCATGACTTTTAGAAATTTTTTAAAAATCTATAAAAGTTTTAATTGAATACACTCATACTGCTAGAGAATCTTCAAAAATTTGCATTAAATATTCTTAAATAAAACGTTTTAAAAAATCTCAATTGAATATACCACTTTAGTTAGAAGAGTTTTTGAAAGTAGTTGGTTCAATGCAATTTTCTTTAAAAACATTTTCGGAATAGGAATTTTTTTAAAAAATTAATTTTTAAATAAAAATTAAGGTAATTTTAACCGAAAGGCAAAAATAAAAGTAAAAATCGCGCCAAACACAAAACAATTTGTAGTGGAGTGGTGGTGTCAGTTGTGTTTCGTGACACTAGATAAATAGAAGAGGACTATCAAGTCATAAAAGTATAAAGAACAAAGCAAATGCACCACACCCCTCTCTCTCCCTCTCCCTCTCTCTCTCTCTACATTCGTACCCCACCACCAACCACACGGACACGATTCATACCTTCCGCCGTTGGTCTCCTAATCATATCAGCGTTCGGCAAGTCTTGCTCTAACTTTTAGCCCTTTCATTTTCTTAATTTTTTTTAACCTTTTAGTTGCTGCTGTTTATTCTGATACGAAATCGATTTGAGTATTATTAATTATTCAACTCGGGAAAGATCGAGGCTAGTTAGAGCGGATTTCGCTATGTGGTTGCTTTGAATTGGAACCATAGATGCTTAGGAATACTGTTTCTCGATTTTTGGGGTCGTATAGAGGATGATCACCCTAATTGGGGGCTTAATACTTGAAGAGTTTGTATTCCGATTTGATTCCGGATACGATTTAAGCTTCTGGGTTGGGATTTTATGCTTTTAGATTTTTGTTGATGTTATTGGTTGTTAATTTATGGAAACCAGAATTGGAACTGAAGCTCAACTTTATTACGGTCTGCCTTCCACGGATTTGAGGACAGTGGGGAAGAAAAGTATGGAATGGTATCCCAATGATTGGAAATGGGATGGGCATCTATTCGTTGCTTCTCGAGTCAATCCCAATCCTTCTAATTACCAGGACAGGCAGTTTTTTCCACTTGAAAGTGGAATTAGTACAACTAGGGATTCTTCTAACGGTTCCTCCTCTTGCTCCGAAGAATTAAATCAAGGGGCTGAGAAAGAAAAGAGGGAATTGGAGAAGAGAAGGAAACTTGTCTTAGTTGAAGATGATAATTTGGCAGATGAGGGCTGCAATCTTATGCTAAAACTCGGGGGCCAGGGCTATCCAATGATAGACAGGAACACGGGGAATGGGGATGGAACATCTGGGAAGAAGACTAAGTTGGCTGGAGCTACTACAAAACGTGCACTTTGCCAGGTCGAGGACTGTGGGGCTGATCTGAATAAGGCCAAAGATTATCACAGACGGCATAAGGTTTGTGAGATGCATTCGAAGGCTAATAGGGCACTTGTCGGGAATCAAATGCAACGATTCTGCCAGCAGTGTAGCAGGTAGATCCTAACCCTTCACTTGCTTCTCTGTGTGGTTATATTCCCCAATGGTCACCAGTTCGAGTTCAGGCTCTGAGGTGAGTATCTGACCCTAAACTTTAGGGCCCCATGGAATTAGTCGAGATGAGCGCAAGGTGGCCCGGACATCTACGGTTATCAAAAAAAAAATATTTACCAGGTCATGTAGCATTATCTTGGGGAATCTGTTAGGTTATTAGCAGATGCTGATAATTTATGTTGAGCATCCCTTTGCCCCAGAATTGATTTTTACTAAATCATAGGTTTTTCATTCTGCATTATCAGAGTCAAATGCTGGTGGCATTTTGACTTAGGGCAATGCATTCTGTGAAGTTATGTAGTTTTAATTCTGCATGATTTTAATCTGAGCATAGTCATACTATCTGTCTCAAATCTCAAGTGATTTCTTTCCCTATATTTTACACAAATTTGCAGGTTTCATGCACTTCAAGAGTTTGATGAAGGTAAACGCAGTTGCCGTAGACGTTTAGCTGGCCACAATAGGAGGAGGAGGAAATCTCAACCTGACAATGTTAACAATAACAATCTCTTTAATGATAACCAGGCGAGTGGTCATCTATTGATGACCTTACTGAAGATACTCTCCAACTTGCATTGTACGTAAATGGTGTTTGCCTTGTTAAAACATAATGACACATAAAATTATTGATCATCATTTTGCCTTCTAAGCTTATGACAAATGCAATTAATTTGTTCTGGGTTCCATGAGTTGCAGCCAATAGATCAAACCAGAAAGATGATCAGGATATGTTGTCTCATCTGCTACACAGCCTTGCTAGCAAGAGATCTTTGCATGGAGAAACAAGCATCTCTGGATGTCCAAAGGAATCCCAGAACTTGCCGGACTATCTCCCTTCTTTAGGAAATTCAGAATTTGTGCATGCCTTGCTCTCAAACGATTCTCAAGGCCAAAGACCTGAAGAACAGCTTAGTACAATTCCTGCCGATGAAATGCTGACAAAGGATGAGAATCTACGAGACACAAATCCTCAAAAACAAGGTGTTATGTTCCCCAACCATGGTAGTTCTGCAGTTGATGCAGAATGCAAGGACTTTTCTGCTGGGAGAAGCAAACGGAATAATTTTGATTTGAATGATGTTTATGTTGATTCTGATGATGGCATGGAGGATGTAGAAAGATCACCCGTCCCTGTGGATCTGGGTACCAGTTCTATTGAGTTTCCTTCATGGGTGCAAGAATCGCATCAGTCAAGTCCTCCTCAGGCAAGTGGAAATTCAGATTCAGGATCTGCCCAGTCTCCTTCCAGTTCCAGTGGGGATGCCCAGGTATATTTTACTATGCTATTTAACTCATTGGGTATGTTCAATGTTATTTGTGGTCTTTCTTTTACAAATATTGTACCTTATAAATCTAAAGAAAGGAATGACCTATGAGCATCATAGTATAACACTAGAATTCCAATGTCACTAGGAAGTTGGACTCAGATTTTCTATAATTAGGTGATCACGCGTTATTAGGGGACCACACTTTGTTAGGTGACTCCTAAAAGTTCGTGGGTATACAAACTTTTTCTTTCGTATCTTTCATGCTGAACTGTCTTTAACTTCCCATCCAGACACATTTTATTGAAGTTCCCGTTAGATGTTCCAATAGTCAGAATGAATCAATACATCAGCAATGAAAAACCATTCAGATCAACAAGTCATCTACTTTAAATATAACGTGCCTATCTACGATGTGTTCACTTATTTTTTTGATTTATCGCTCATAGGTTTCTAGAGGTTTTCTAAACTTGGATTCTCTGAGCCTCTAAGTTTGATGTCTTGTCGTCGTTGTTTGAGTGGACAATCCCTACAACACTAATTCTTAGACATATGCCGTAAGTTATCCTAAAATTTTCAGATGAACTTTGCCGTAGTGGGGATTACCTACATCCAACAAGAAGTTAAGTTCCAATAAATTGGAGGTCAGTCTACATCTCTTGACGGGTCCAATAAAATCCAATCTTTTGCAACCACCTCTATAGGCTATGTTAAGTTTGTTGTACACCATCTTTCTTTTATTTTGTTCTATTGGATAGTAACTCCTTTGTGAATTGAAGATTATATAATGTACATATCACATGCCCCTACCATCTAAAATATACTTTCATTAATTATCTCTAGTTGGTACTATGTCCACTTGATAGAGTATATCCTTGTGATCTATTTTATCTATTTAAGTATTCTCATACCTTAAGATCCTAATTTTTGTTAATGTCCTTTTATGGGCATTTTGTCCTTTAACAACCTAACAATCAATATCTTAAAGCATAGCTGATCTAACTAGTGTTTCATATAAATTGCTTCAACTGGATTGGTTTTTTCCATCACTTGAAATACCAGTAACCGCTATCAATTTCTTTTGACCCTCTATAATCCTATGCATTCAAGTTTTCCTTCATTAATAATTGAATGTAAATACCTAAAATTCTCAAACTTGCATATATCAAAAGATTCAAAAACCTTCGCTTGCATTTTTTTGTTGATGATTTAGCCAAGTTATTTTCAATTTTTCTATTATTTGAAATTTAAAAGTACCTACTAACTTCTTTTAAGTCTTAGTTATTTATCAGCGGAGCTTATGAATTTTTCTTGTTTTAATTCTTGATCTATATGTGAAGAAAGAAATTATTCGTAGAAATTAATATTTTTCTTGGAGATGCCACTAAAATAATTCTTAGCTTGTTTCTACATTTGTCCTATTTTAATATTTCCGGATCATTTTGTGTCACTAAAGAGCCGAACAGATCGCATTGTTTTCAAACTGTTTGGAAAGGAGCCCAGTGATTTTCCCATCATTTTACGAGCGCAGGTATTTTTGAACTTTTGTTTGTTTGGATATCCAGCTTTGCCATCTCTCTTTTCTTAGAAAGTTTAACAAAGTGAAAATTTTGTATTTCCAGATATTTGATTGGTTATCCCACAGTCCTACGGACATAGAGAGCTATATAAGGCCTGGTTGTATCATTTTAACGATATATCTTCGTCTATCTGAGTCTGCATGGGAGGAGGTATGCTTGTTTTTCAAGATAACATGATTGTGAAATTGTTGTTCTGTATTCATGGACAAACCTCCTTACGTTGTGCTTTAAAAACAACCTCCTTAATTTGTCAAACTCCAATTGCTTTGTGCAGCTCTGTTGTGATTTGGGCTCCAATTTGAGTAGACTTCTGGATTCCTATCACGATGTCACTTTCTGGAGTACAGGATGGATTTATGTCAGGGTGCAGAATCAAATAGCATTTATATACAATGGTAGTTATCATTATGATTCTAGAAAAAACATTCTGTAATTATTCACGTTTTCTGTTGCTACTTTGCAACAACAGTTCTTTGTGGAACATTAATTGCTATGAATATTCCTATTCTGCAGGTCAGGTTGTTGTGGACACATCTTTACCTTTCAAGAGTAGTAATTATAGTACAATTATGAGTGTTAAACCTATTGCTATTACATCATCTGAGAGAGCTCAATTTGTTGTTAAAGGCTTTAATTTATCGCGACCCTCCACGAGGTATGCATCATGTGATTTGCCGTATGGTAATATTTTCTTGTTGATTTTGTGAATGTAAATGTTAGATAGATTCTGTTCTCATTTCCCTCCATAAGATTCTGAAATTCTTGGTCATAATCACAGACATCTCATCACAATGTTGAACATTTGTTGTCAGGATACTCTGCTCACTAGAAGGTAATTATCTGGAAGCTAACAGTGAGATAGTGGAACACGAAGGTGGCTTAGAGGGGCATTGTGTTCAATATGTGAACTTTGCCTGTTCATTTCCTGCTGTTAATGGAAGAGGATTCCTTGAGGTAATGCTTTATTCTGCCTATAGCACATTGTTCCTCATGGAAGTTACACATTGGACATTTTTATAACATGTCAAATTTGGGAATGTTGGTAACGTGGTACAAATTAAAAATTGTTTTAAAGCATGGCGGTTGGGAATAATTCTGCCTGATGTTAACCCCTATTAAAGTTTTGTATGAGAAAACTCTGCTTGGTTACATGAGAAATGCATGCTATGGCATGGTAGCTATGAGCACCAGTATGGCTGCATTCCTGGAGTGTTATGCTAGAGTTTTGTGCACCACATATACATGTATTGCTTCCTAATTCAGAAATTCATTGAAAATTTTCCACTTGCTAACCTCAAAATCTTTTCTAAATTTATACAGGTTGAGGATCATTGTGTTGGCAGCAGCTTCTTTCCTTTCTTAGTTGCTGAGGACGATGTTTGCTCTGAGATGCGTATGCTTGAAGGAGAAATAGAGTTGACCGAGACAGATGATTTCCAGCTAGAAACTGGGAAATTAGAAGCACGGAAACAAGTCATGGATTTCATACATGAAATGGGATGGCTTCTCTATAGAAATAATTTGAAGTCCAGATTGGGGCACTCAGATCCTAAATCAGACTGTTTTCCTTTTAAACGTTTCAAGTACCTTGTGGAGTTCTCTGTCGACCGTGATTGGTGTGCTGTTATAAAAAAACTTCTTGGCATTCTTTTCAATGGAACAGTGGGTGCTGGAGAGCAGCCTATCTTGAAGTTTGCGCTATATGAGATGGGTCTCCTACACCGAGCTGTGCGAAGAAATTCAAGATCTCTGGTGGAGATGCTATTAAAATATGTTCCAGAAAGAATAGCAGATGAACTAAGTTTGCAATACAACTCCCTTGTTGAGAGTGACGAGATTTTCTTGTTTAGACCTGATGTTGTGGGACCTGCAGGTCTGACACCTCTTCACATTGCAGCTGGTAGGGATGGATCTGAGGATATATTGGATGCCTTGACTTGTGATCCCGGAAAGGTAATCATTTTTTCCTTCCCAATTATAATGTTAAGCTTGAAGAGTATAAATTTAGTCATTTCATTTGCATGCGCTGCATGTTAGGAGGCCTCTTCTTTGCTTGCACAGCCTTTTGATAAGTTCTGCAAAATAATTATTGCGACCCGGCCTACTAAAATTGATTATCAGTTTTATAGTATGAACTAAGACTACCCTAATTTTGCCATTCTAGACTTGTAGTTAAATGAGATCCATTTAGTCTACTATATGAATTTTAAAATATGCTCATGTGGCCTGATTTAGGTGGGAATTGAAGCATGGAAGAATGCCCGTGACAACACAGGATTTACGCCTGAAGATTATGCTCGACTGAGAGGACACTACTCTTACATACACCTTGTTCAGAGGAAAATTACCAAAAAAGTATCTTCTGGGCACGTGGTTGTTGACATTTCTGACACTTGTTCAGATAGCAGTGTGAACCCAAAGAAAAATGAAGGGGCGGCCACTGGTTTTGAGATTGGAATGTCCACAAGAAGAAGTGTTCCGCGTCCCTGTGGTATTTGTGATCAGGAATTGGTTTACAGAAGCAGCAGTCGAACTTTGCTTTATAAGCCTGCAATGCTCTCAATGGTGGCCATAGCGGCTGTATGTGTTTGTGTAGCCCTTCTTTTCAAAAGCTCGTTTAGGTGGGAGATGTTGGAATATGGTTCCAGCTGAGAGAAACTTGAAAATAAGTGATTATAGTTGACTGTAGAGCCGACACATTTATTGGAGAGCTCTTTTGGTATTGACCTATTATTATTTATATGATGCTTCATAAAGAATGTGATTTTCTTTCTGGATAAATGAAATAAATTACTTGTTAAATTAAGGGTTGAATGCGAGATTTGTCTTCTCATTTTAATTGTATGTTCATGATGTGAGAAACATTTGAGATAGTTGAGTCAAAGTATAAGGCTTGGAACGGAAGGAATTACAATTTTTTTTTTTTTTTTTGTGGAAAATGTTTAGGACTCTTCTATAATTTAGGGTATATTTGGGAAAGTGTTTATAAGTAGGGATAGTATTAATAGACATCTAAAATAACGAGTCAAACATGGGCATAATGTCACATGTGGTGATGCGTAAATTCTACTAGTATTAAATAATAGCATTAATCATAAAAAGATTAAAGAATTTTCTTTTCTGTTTTCTTCTCTCTCTCTCTGGTTAAATTAGCATTGACAATAAAGGTGGTTAGACTTTTTAACACTACTAAAGTTTGGGTGAGTGCATTTAAACGACTTTATGATGGTTACCATACCAATGTACTTTTATGACCTAATTGTAACTTTTTGAAAAGGTTGCTACATTTTTCCCTATAGATTAATAACATAGGGAGAAGGGCAAAAACAATATAAAAAAATGCGGTGAGCGTGGATCGAACACGCGACCTTCAGATCTTCAGTCTGACGCTCTCCCAACTGAGCTATCCCCGCTTGTTTTTTTTCTTTTCTTTTTAATAATATAAATATAGTTATGTATTTTATATTTCCACCTAGCCTCGAATATCGCGATTTTCATTGTTTGTTTACTATCACCCAAAAAAGTCCAATCTTGCACGACTCTCTCTCTCTCTCTCTCTGCAAATTTACACAGCCATTCAAAAACAACAATTCTCTTTAGGTTTCTACAACTTCTTGTTACCTTTTTCTGATTTTTAGTTTCTTTTTTCCTGTTAATCAAAATTGCAGAAAGAATGATAATTATTGTTAAAATTGATATGGAATGAAGTGATTTTCATTATTGAATATACATTACATTGGTGTACATAATACATGTAGAATTTGTTATGTAAGGAAATAAAACAAATTTAGGACAAAATATGCTATTAAAGAAAAAAATTTCTATGATAAAATCAAATCTCAATAATCACGGTTAATACTCCCCCTCAAGTTGGAACATGAATGTCCGTAATGCCCAATTTGAGAATGAAATGATGAAAATGGTCATTCCCAAGAGCCTTAGTGAAGATATCAGTCAGTTGCAGCTTGGTAGAGATGTGTAGGAAGGAAGAGCCCAGAAAGATATTTCTCACGGACAAAATGACAATCTATTTCAATATGTTTGGTTCACTCATGAGAAATAGGATTGCGGTGATGTTGAGGGTAGCCTCATTGTCACAATAGAGCAATATATGTTGCAAGTGGACAACAACGAGGTCAGGCAAAAGAGATTTGAGCTAAACAAGTTCACAAGTTGCCATCACCATTGCACGATATTCAGCTTCAACAGAAGATCGTGAAACAATCTTCTATTTCTTTGTACGCCAATAAATGGGACTAGTGCCAAGAGTGACAAAAAAATCGATCGTGGAACGATGAGTGGTTGGACAACGGGCCCAATCAGAGTCGGAGTATGCTGAGAGCCTGAGATCACACTGGACGAAATAAAATAGGCCACGTCCTAGAGAGCCTTTCACATAACGGAGAATATGAAGTGCATCTCGAGGATGTGAATCACGAGGGTTCTGCATGAATTGGCTCAGCATATGCGCAGAGAATGAGATGTCTAGGCGAGTAATAGTAAGATACAGAAGACGACCCACTAACCATCAGTAAGAACTGGGATCAGAAAGTAGAGCGACATCATTAGGGGTAAGCTTCAAATTATGATTCATGGGAAAAGAAGTAGGTCGTGAACCCAAATTACTAGAGTCGGCAAGGATGTCAAAGTATACTTTCTCTAATTAATGAAAATTCCAAGTGGTGACCAAGCAATTTCAAGACCAAGAAATATTTCATGGTGCCTAAATCCTTGATCTTGAACCCGTCATCAAGCAATAATTTGAGGAGAGTGATAGTAGAGAGATCGTTTCCTGCAACCAAGATGTCATCAAGATAAACGAGGACAACAGTGAAAGAAGAACCAATAGTACGAGTGAAAATGGAGTGATCAGCTGTAGACTGAGCAAAATTATCTGACAACAATACAGAGGACAATTTGGAGTACCAATTGCGCGAAGCCTGCTTAAGACCATAAAGAGATTTAAGTAGACGACAAATACAAGTCTTCCCCTCTTGACCATATCTGGGATGAAGGGTCATATAGACCTCCCCCGCCAAATCTCCATGAAGAAATACATTGTTGACATCAAACTGATGAAGATGCCAATGTTGTGCTGCTGCAGTTGCCAAGACACAACGAACAGCAACAAGTTTGGCTACATGAGCAAAGGTGTCATGATAATCAAGGCCATCAACCTGAGTATAACCCTTGGCCACCAACCGAGCTTTTTACCTCTCAATGGAACCATTTGCATGGAGTTTAGTTTTGAAGACCCACTTACAACCGATGGATTTTTTGTCTGGATGAAGAGGTGTAAGGAACCAAGTATTATTAGACTCAAGTGCCCGAATCTCAACCCGCATAGCATCACACCAGTGGGAATGTTTAACATCTTGAGAGTATTGAGCAGGGTCAGAGGCTTGTGATAAAGCAAATAAAAAGGAAAAATGATTCACAGAAAAATTAGGATATGAGACAAAATGTGAAATGGGGTGAGTCGTACCTAAAAATGTGATTGGAGTGGTGCAAGCCGTAACAGATGAGGTTGATGGTAAAGTAGGACAAACATAATAAGCAAGGTGAGCAGGACGGTGTATAGTGAGATGAGGGCGAGTAGGATGAGGCACATGGAGGGGTTCTGGAGAAGAGGAAATTTGTGGGGGAATAGGAGGATCGGAAACAGGAAGGGGTAAGACAAGGGGCGAGGTGGAAGGTTGAGATAAAATTTTGAAGGGAAAAGATGTTCGAGAAAGGTGACGTCTCGAGATATGATAATTCGTTTGTGTTCTAAGTTATAAACCCGATATGCATTATGAGTGGAAGGGTAACCCAAAAAAACATAGGGACAAGCATGAGGTTGAAACTTCACGGTGAACAGAAGTCATGTGAGCATAGTAAAAGAAGCCAAATACACGTAAATGATCATAGCGAGGTGCGTGTCTCTAAAGGTGTTCAAAATGAGAAATATTGTTTAGAGAAGATGAAGGGATGTGATTTATGAGATAAGAAACAGTGAGTACACATTCTCCCCAAAAAGTAAGAGGAAGGTTAGCCTGAAAATGGAGGCAACGAGCCACGTTCAAAATATGGCGATGTTTTCACTCAGCAACACCATTCTGTTGAGGTGTCTCCACGCAAGTGTGTTCCCAAAGAGTGCCCTGTTTAGAAGAAAAAATTTGGGTGGTGCGAGCAAGAAACTCTTGACCATTATCACTATGTATATGACGTATTTTGAAGTTAAATTGAGTGTGAATCATTGCAAAAAAATTTTGCAGACAAGATAAGGTTTCAGATTTAAAATGAATTAAATACAGCCATGTGACTTGAGTGTATTCATCAATTATTGTTAAAAAATAATGTGCACCAGAGAGAGAAGCAATATGATAACCGCCCCAAATATCACAAAAAATGCGTTCAAAAAGCATCAAGCTTTTATTTGCAACTAATTGGAAAGGTAATCGAGCGTGTTTTCCATGGTTACATGCATCATAATGTTCAATAATTTGAGGACGAGAAATAAAATGTGGAACATTATATAAGGAGGGATGACCCAAAAGTTGATGCCATGTTTCAAATGAAATATGATTAGAGGATTGGAGTGCGGTTGCTAGAGCTGGCTTGAAATAATATAATCAGTTACGCTCATCACCTGTCCCAATCAGCATCTTCGTGGTTAGGTCCTGAAATGTGCAAAAATTGGGGAAAAAAAATTAAACAACATAATTGAGCGATTTTTTTAGTTGACTAACCACCGATAACAAAATAAATTTAAAATCAGGAATTGACAAGACATTAGAAAGGGAGAGACGAGGGGATAAATTAATATCACCCCTACTCAATACAGGAGTATGTGAACTTGTGGAAAGATTAAAAAAAAAAATGGACTAACGGTATTATTAGAATTATTTAGGGGAAAATTAGTAATGTGGTGTGTGACACCACTATCAATTACCCACGGGCCACTACCAAGGGAAGAAACAGGGGCCAAACTTGTAAAGTAAAGGAGAGGGCTGGGTTTTTGAGAAGTTCCATCAATTGTGTATACTGATCGGTGGAGAGGCTAGGAATTCCATTCACGGTTGAAGATGTACTGGCAGCAGAGACCTGATGAACAGCCGGCGAGGAAGACGCTGATGTGTTGCATTTGTTCTTGGACGGCCACCACTCCGGGTACCCAATAATTTCAAAACACTTGTTCTGTTGGTGGTCCGGTTTACCACATGCTTCACAGAGAGGTGTCTCAGCAAGACATACACGGCAGGGGTGAGATGTTGTCGTTGGCAGCGTGGAGGAGCGGGTGATTAGGGTTGAAGCATCTGATTGAGATGGGGTTAATTGGACCAATAATTGGGTTTCTTCTTGATGGAGAATGGCATAACAGCGACCAATTGAAGGGAGTGGGCCTATAGCCAAAATCTGGTATCGAAGTTGTTGGAATTCTATGGTCCTACACTATTGGTCTACATTTAATTAGGTCCCCAAATTTTTTGAAAAAAACTTCTATTCGCTAAATTCAATTCTAACGGCTACCTAAGTTGTTTCCGGATGTGTTATATACAGTCTTGCTTGAGCCTATTAGAGGATGTACTAAGTTTCATGCTAATGGAGTGAAGTGCTCGAGACTTAAGGAGAGAGATGTCTTAAGATTGGGAACAATGGTCTCCAGGAAA